GGCGGGGCAGCAGCGAGCTGAGGTAGTACTCAGGGCTCCAGGCTAGGGGCTGGGCGCTGCGGTGCGGTTCATAATCCCTTATATACAGCATGGCCCCTCCCACAGTCTGATCGTCCGGAGGAATCATTGGGTCGTCTGGAGGAGTTCATCCTGGCGACAGTGCCTCCCCCTCGCCCTGAGGGGGGCTCGAAGGGGGAAATCATCCTAGCGACAGAGCCTCTCTGACCTCCTCCTCCTGGCGATCCACGGGTGCTCGCCCTCTCTGGGCACTGTCAAGGCATGTGTGGCTTTTCTAATACTTCAAAATTTAATGTTAGTACACCAATCTTTTAAGCAACAGTTCAGAATAAAATCCAAACTACTTGAGAGGTTTTCATTTTAATATTAAACTTCCCCCTCAAGTCGGGGAAGAACCTTTTCCTGATACCCCTGACACAACTTCAGGCCATTTCCTTGGGTCCTGTTGATGTCTTCTTCTGGGCAACTGGGCACCAGAGAGATGAGATCAGTGCCTGCCCCTCCTTTTCTCCTCAGGGGGAAGCTGCAGACTCCAATAAGGTCTCATTTCAGTCTTGTTCTCACCAGGCTGAACAGACCAAGTGTCCTCAGACACTCCTCATATGGCTTCCCCTTGACATCCTTCACCATTTTCATGGCCTCCTTTGGACATCCCTGATAGCTCATTGTCTTTGTTGTATTGTGGTCTCCCAAACTGGCCCCAGCACTCGAGGTGAGGCCACCCCAGCCCAGAGCAGAGCAGGACAATCTCCTCCCTTGCCCAGCTGGTGATGCTGTGCTTGATGTTCCCAGGACAGATGTCCCTCCTGGCTTCCAGGGCACTTGACTCAGAGCCAACTTGCCACTAACCAAGACCACCAGGTCCTTTCCTGTGGTGCTGCTCTCCAGCCTCTCATTCCCTATTTCTAGCTACATTGTTTGGCAGCTGAATAAAACAGGCACCTCAGGGAGGTGAACAGGGTAAATAGCTCTGAGTTAGGTTCATGCTGACACCTTCTCCAGGTATGCAGGACAACCTTGGTTACATAATCTCAGTTGTATTGTGAGTGCCTGGGACATGGATCCCTTTGGGTCCCAGACACAAAGGGACCCAAAGGGATCCATGGATTCCATGACCATGTCTGTGACATTAAAATGCTCCCTTGTTCACCCCTCCAGTGGAGTGCAGGAAGCCAGTGGCTCATGGAAGGGCCTGGGTTGACACAGCCAGGGGAGCACAGGAGCCCAAAGCCAGGTGGGAACTGTGCCCTGTCCAGGCTCTCCCCAGTCTCTCACAGGGAACCCACCACCCCATGGCCCACCTGTGACACCAATTATAATAAAAGGTCAAGGCTGGAGCAGCTTTTGAACTGAGGGGGTTTCTGCCTAGAGGCATAGGATGTGTTAGGGGAAGAGCGTTTTAGGATTGCAGAGGATTTATAATGGGCTGTTTAGGGAAAAACCAAAGATGGGAAAGGAAAAGAATTTAGATGATTTGGGGAGGAACAAGTAGAGGAAAACAGAGGGATAAGATGACAGAAAGGGCTGGTTGTTTTGAAATAATTGTGCTTGTCTGTCTTTGCCATGTGCCCAATTAGTGGAGGCTGATCTATCTTCTTATCATATTAATTTCTAACTCTTTTTTTTTTCCCCTGAGTTTAAGGGGGAGCTCTCTCTTGGGAGCCCAGAGGAGTCCCAGTTGCTGGAGAGATGGCAGAGTCTGGGGCAAAGGCAGGTGCTGTGTCTGTGTGAGACCACAAAGTGGTTTTCTCTGTCTGAGAGTTCCTGTACCTCGGGCACTCCTACATCTCATGCCAGCAGCAGAGGAGGCTGGCATCCAGAGACAGCTGCTGGATCCACAACCTCACTGTCTTGCTCAGCCAGACGAGGGAGCAAGATGTTTTTTCTTTGTTTATGTGAGTGCTCTGTGTGCCTGTGCCTGCCGTGCAGCAGGCTGCGATTACCAGTGCACGTGTTGTGCATTTCTGTGCTCTGCGTGCATCTGTCTGAGTTCTTGGTCATCTCTGGATGGTTTTCTGTGTCATTTAAAGCTCAAACCATGTCAAAGGAGAGAAGTTTTGAAGCTCTTGAAAAAAAAAAAAAGCTCTTTTCTGCAGAAAGTGTCTGGCAACATGACAGATGGCAGTTTAAAATAGTTGTAGAGAAATTGAAAGGGGTTTAGCATTTAAAGGCACCTAGCAAATTGAGTTTACTATCCCACATTATTTAGCCTTTCAATAATGAAATTCACACTTCACACAGGCCAGCAGGTGAAATTTTATCAATTCATTTTAATAGGAAGTATGGGGGATTGATAACTGATTTTTTAATGATCTTTTTCTTTTCCGTATTGCCATTACTCTTTTCTTCAATTATTTCTTTTATGCTCATTTTATTTCTGGCACTTGCTCTTGGTGGTTTTTTCCTTTGACTTTAGGTTGATTGTGGTTTTATTTATTTTTTTTCCCCCGGTGCTGCTTAATGGAAGAAAAATTATCATTTTTTATTCACTGATCTCCCACAATACTTCTGAATTTCTGTGTTTTGGCGTTTTGGTTTGGTTTTTTTTTTTTCAGAAAGTTGGAGTTACTGTGGGACAAAATCCAGAGTATTTGAGAGACTGATTTCTGCTCAAGATTGAAAGCAAATGAAAAAAATGCAATATCAACATGGGTCTTTTCCTTAGATCTATCAACATGTATAGAAACATGTTTAGGTTTAACAATAATGATTGCATTCTTTTTGAGATAGCCTAAACAACCAGAACAGGAGACTGCAAATATAGAATGTTATTTCACCTCCTGCATAAATTCCTATTATCTTTAGGAGAAAGGAAAAAGAAGTAAAAAAATAATAGGTAACTCATGCCGCAAGGAAAATGTGCCATTTATAGTGTAATGTTCCTTAAATTGCTAAAGCAGCATAGTCTAGTTCTGTACAACATTTATTTACATTTAAGACATCCATAATGATTTTCAGAGTTTCATAATACACTGCAAAGAACATAAGAATGTCTCTTCCAGTGGCCAAGGGCATCTACCTGTAGAAGAATATAACAAGTTAATCACAAATTAGTTTTCACACATGTACTCTCTCACCTTTTGATTATTTGCAAATAGATATTTTTATACAATTTGATTAAATTAATGACTGGTTATGGATTTTTCTCCCATGAATTTGCCTATTCACTTTTAAAACCTGTGTAAAATAATACTATCCAAAAATCTGCCATATGCTGTGAGGAAAAATGCCTGTTTTTGCTTGTGTTCCATCTGCCTTCTGTTACTTTTATGTGATGCACTCCCCAGCTCTGGTTCTGGAACACTGTGATCAGTTAATCCCCATTCAATCTCTCTGTGTACTTGGGCTTTATTGACATCTGTTATGGACCTCATTCAGTTGTCTCTCTTTTTTCAGACTGAAGAGTCTTCACTTAGGAATCTTCACTGAAGAGTCTTCACATAAATATTTGTTGTGCAGAAGGAATTATAGACACCTGGGCCATGTTCATTGCTTTCCTCTTAGACTTTTGCTTTAGTTCTGTGTCCTCTCAGTCAGACCACATAAAACATTTCAGTGCTTCTGCATGGACTAATGCTTCTAACTCTTGGGGGGAAAAAAAAAGGAACTTATTTAGGTTACATATGCTAGATAAGTAGCACATAACTTGCCATATGTTTCAGGTGTCTTAACATTTGTACATAAGGTGAAACCAGGACAACATCCGTACGTGTTAGATCTTGCTAGACTTTGACTGCTGATTTGAGGGAGTGGGGTTTGCTCATTGACAAGTTCTGTTCAGCCAGGAGCTGTTCAGAGACCCCTTCCAGAACTAGAGGTATTGGTTCTGTGCCATTGGTTACTCATAGACAAAGTTTACAAATGGTAAAGTTCTTCTTGAAATGCCCCGAAATGTTTTAGTCAGTTTATTCTGTAACTTCAAGAGAAAAGATGACATATGGTGTTTTCTTTGCCTAACATGGAGGAGTTGTTTGTGCTGGCATGGGGTAAATGATACTTCATTACTTCTCAATGATTTTGTGTGGTTTTGAGTAAGAAAAGAAAAAAAATAGGTGCTTGGTGAGTTTCACTGCTCTCCATTAAAATTTTCTTACTCAGTCATACTGCAGCCATTTCAGTAAATTCCTGGGGAATTTTTGGTCTACATTTTTTCTCTCCTGCCCAAGATAATGACAACAGTAGCATTATGCTTGATATTAAATATGATGCCCTGGCTTAACCCAGACTATTCATTTAGCTTTTACTCTGAAGATGAAATAATTCTGTTGTGACAGGAGCCCTTGCTGTGGTCACAATGAGTTGTGTAATCCATCACCTTGGACAATATTGACACCAGTCTGACTAATAATAAACTGATGCATCCTTCATAACTCAAGA